AACTCACTATGCACTTATTGGTTTAAAGACACTACCCTTCTCTTTATAAAATGTACGTTAAAAAAGTAAATATTAGATCATTGGGTACGTAAAATGTGAATATTAGCGTGTAATGTTTTCTACTTTCCTTTTCACTCTTCTTGTTCTTTACGTTATATTAAATTTTATTTTTGTCTTTTTCTTCTTTCCTTAAGAACTTCTTATAAGAAAAATAAAAATTAAAAAAATTATATTATGTAGTTTCCTTTTCATCGCATATTTGTTCCTTATTCTTCTTTTCCTTTTTCGTTTTCTTCATTTACATTTGTATTATGTTATGTTGTAAATGCAACATGTGTTCATACAAATAGACAAACATATTAAAAATTCATATTAATGTTCAGGAAAAGTTTACAATGTGCACCTTCTAAAAGGACATATGATATGCACTTATTGTGTGGTTCATATTGTGCCACGTCATAAAACGTAACTTGCTAAACAGGTCATTTAACAGGTCACATGAAAGAATCATAACGTTTTTCAAATATCATAACAACACTCCAATGAATTATAACAATGTCATAATATTCACCAACGTATCATAACAAAGACACTATATATCATAACAATATAATGACAACTCATAACAAATCTAGTTATTTCAAATTAATTATCATAACATTTGAATCATAACATTTTTTATTATGATTCACCATGACAAATCATAACTTTTGGTGGTACAAGTCATAACTTTTACTGATGATTCATAACCATAACACATTGAGTATAACTTTTTTTCCCACAATCATAACGACATTAACAAACTATCATAACTTTTATCAATGAATCATAACATAGCATGTTGATTGTAATTTTGTCCCGAAAATCATAACAACATTATGAAAACATCATAACTTTTAAAATTTCAAACATAATTAATTGTGTAATCAATTGGTATAGCATATTGGAGTGAATGGAAAATCATAATTGACTGCAAAATCGATTGGATTGAAAGGCCACAATTGATTGTACAATCGATTAGTGGCCAGAGTTTTGAACTATCACAATTGATTGTACAATCCATTAGAATATAAGGGATATTCAAATATCACAATTGATTGTACAATTGATTGGTTGATCGGTCGCCATTTATATGTAATTTTGTTGTTGTGTTTTCATTACCTCAAAAATTATCACTAACAAAAACGCATAACACTTCAACTACGTTTCTCGTTTTACAATTCTCTCTCTCTCTCTCTCTCTCTCTCTCTCTCTCTCTCTGTCATTATCATCAATGTTAATGTTACCTGAAATGTTGTTGCTATGAGTCATCAGCACCGTCGAATTCGATTACTCACCAATCGCCTCGTTGCGTGCTCGATTGGTTGAATTCAGAGTTCTCCGATGAAGAGAAAGAAGAAGATGAATCGAGGTTGGAATACGAAATTCGAGCTCAGTCTGGTAGAGGTAGAATTGGGAAATTAGCATCGAATGAAGGGGCAATTTGGGAATCTGATGGTTGGGTGGTGGTGAGGAATGTGAGCACTGACGAAACAGCCGCAATTTCGGAGCCATCATGTTGTTGTGGGGACGAAGAAGAAGAAGGGACGAGTTCGGAATATTTGAATTTTACGAGGACCGAACAGCAAATAGAAAATTTTGATTTCGGTGGTGACGGTGATGCGGTGGAGTGTGACGGTGGTGGGTGGTTGCGACCGTGGGATTGGGCGGTGGTGAAGACTGGAAGCAAGGTCATTACAGCTGGTGTAATTTTTTTATTATTAACTTCATTGTATTTGACAGCAATAATATGTATCCTATTACGTTTTATAATAATATTACATTCCATATTATTCACATTTTATTTGAGACATCAGTCTGTCCATCTGACACCCTTCCCCAAGCTTCCAATATTATTATTATTTATTTCTTAAGAATCTTATCCCAAGTTGAAAATCAATAGGGTATCAACTGCGTGGTCTTTTATTTTTCTATTATTTTTTAAAAAAATTTATGGTATATAGCAAGAATATCCCATGATTTGGTCCAAGGTTTAGCTCTTTCTTTCACACAACATTCTACCAACGATCGTTCCAACCAAACAATTATTGGCTACATTTTTTGGCAATTTTTTAGCAGATTATTTCTTTACTTTTTTGTGCTTTTAAAAAAAAAATGAAAAAGTTTTACACATTTATTAAAAAATTCATTAAAGAAAAAAAAATTTACTCTTTTTAAAATTAATTCCAAACATTCACTACGTTTATACTATTTTATAAAGTGTTTCTCTTCATGCCATATGTCACGTATTTTTTAAAGTAACCTTGAGAAAGAAAACTTTTATCATTTGAACCGCACACATTATAATATCAGTTAATTAATTATTTTTTTATTTTTATTTTTATTTATTTAAATTGTACATATATCGTATATGTTAATTGTATATTATGCATTTGTGTAGATTTGAGTAAATAGTGTGATTGTACTAAATAAATATATAATTTATGATGTTATAATGTCACTCAATGCTACTAAATAATTTCTCCATCAAACCTGAACTAGAGGTGGATTAGAAAGGAATATTTCATCCTAAATTCTTGATATGAAATGAACAAACTTTACCAATCAAACATACTAAGATATTTTTTGAAAAGGTCAAAAAAAGACTGTTTGTTAATTTATTAGTTTATTTGAATCACATCATCTCTTTATTTTTTATTTTTTTATTTTCATAACAAGCCAATAAATTTTTTAAAAAAAAATTCTTTCCCAAAATAGGCCTAAATTGAATTATTTGTGAACAAGTTCATACAAAAAAACAAAAAATTTGCAATTAGCATGGCCACTAAAATCTTGGAGTGGGACAAGTGGGTGGGCAATGATTTGGGCCACAACAGCTTTGCGAGTTTGAGAGATTTGTACTGAGTTGCTTTTTAACTAACAACAAAGTTGTTTTCACGCGGTTAGTTCTCACAAGTCGCAACAAACAAACAATCATAAGAATTTTTTTTCAAGAAACCGAGTTATCAAAAAATAAAGCAACAAAAAGTCTTTTCATGATGGAGTTGTATTGCATCAAAATTATCTTCTAGGGAAAAAATCCTAATGCCGTAAATGTCTGAATGAGCTGTTACTGGAAACACTTTTTTAACTTTATGCAAATGCTTTTCTTGGCGTAAGCTGAAACTACACTCGTTGTAATTTCTTACAAGTTACATCTTCAATAATCTTTTGTAAAATTTATCCCTTCATGTTAATATCTGGCGTGCCATAGGATTAGTCTCTAGAACCAATTAAACTACTCGATTTGTTTAGAATAATCTAAATAACTGTATTTTTTTAACTTTTTACGAAAAGATGTACAGCAAAATAAAAATGTGATATGACCCAAAAAAATATAAAAAAATAAAAAGTGTGCTTATAAAATTTTGTTTAAGATTAATTTGTTATGTAAATATATTAAGTTTAACACATTTATAGCTGATCAAAAAAAAAAGTTTAACAAATTTATAAATTTTAAATTTTTTAAATTTTAACTCAAACTCAACTCGATAAATTTATATATATATATACTATAAAATACCAAACTATTCTGTTTTAGCTTTATCAAAATTTATTTGAGATCGAATCAAAAGACCCTCGAATCAAAAGACCCTTCCAATTGATTCTTGGTGTGTCAATCAAGACAATTTAAAATCAGACAAAAGGAAAATGTCCGCCAATTCGCTAGCCAAATTGCAGTATGTGACTGAATGATCTATAATTCCGTAATTGATGCAGTGATAAATACGGTTAGTAATGGGCGCCCATGTGGCATGACCATTTAAATTTAAATTTGATCATTATCCAAATAAGTTTTGAATTTGAATTCAAACCTATTTAGGATAACCACTCAAGATACAGATGATTATCAGTTTTAACTGATATGGATAGATATTATAATATATTATATATCTGATATATGGTTATGGGTAATCCAAGTGAGAAACGACGTATAGTCTGTTTCTACCCATATACTGACTCTCTCCCACAAAAAACAACGATCAAGTCTTTGACACTGTGGTTTGTGTGGGTGATATTCCATCTATGATATCACTCCACTGCTGGGTTGGTTCATCAAGAAGTTCCCTGGAAGCACGTGATTTATCCAAGAAGGTTCTATCATCAAGAAGGTATGATCTGATTATTTTATCCGCTGCACATTCTGTGTTTTTTAAGTTTACAAATACTAAATAAAATTTAATGAAATAAAGCAATCTACAAGAATTACAAAGACTATATTACTTTGGACCACTTTGGGGGTATTTGTTGTAGCTTTTCAAAGCTAACTTATGGCTTTTAATTTTGAAAAAATTATTTTGGACTGTTTGGTTAAACTTATTTCAAACAGTTTTTGATTCTAACAGCTTATTTTAACTCAAAAAAGCTAATTCTAAGAAGCTGTTCATCGCCCCTCTAAAAAAAAAAAAAAGAAGCTGTTCACCCCTTACTTCTGATTATCAGCTTCTGCTGTAGACATGTTAATTTATGGTTATACTCTTAAATTTTTTTTTTTTTTTTTTAAAAATAGAAAAAGACTCAAATGGACTATAAATTATTTTTTTTTTTATGAGAAATGTAGACAAACAAAAAATAAAAATTAATTGAAAAAGCTATTTCACAGCTTATTTAACAAACACTACTCAGCAACTTAAATCTATAAACCAACAGCTACACCAAACAGAGTAACAATTTCTGATTAAAGTCATAATCTATAATTTATTAAGTTATAATTTATAAGCTGTTTTAACAGGTACACCAAAGAGAGTCTTTGATTGCAACTTATAATTCAATTCACAAGTTACCAAATAAGTTAAAGTAAAATAAGTCATCTCATCTTTCATATATTTGCTTTTTGGCTTTGTAATTACGAAAAAGTGGGGTTATTTGATAACCTTGTTAGTATTTTTATAGTAAATTTAGTTTTAGAGTTTTTTTTTTTTTTTTTGAATTATTGTAATTTTAATAAATTGATTTATTTTATCGAATATCAAGTAAAAGTGTTAGTATACTGAATAATTTTTTTTAATGAATACACGGTACAATTCAGAAAATGAATTTATTCGTACTAACAATATAATTCGTCCCTCTCCTTCATTCATATCTTTCCATACGAACCAAACTGTAGCATATACGCAATGCTATGTAAACAAACGACATGAAAATCTCCAAATTATTGCCAACTAACAGAAATTTATTCTAAAGATTTGATTCTAGTTCAGATTCCTTCAGTATTGACAATCCCTTCCCTATATGAATAAATTTAACAGTTAGCCCTCCATGGTTAAGCAACTCTGAACGCGCTCCATACGTACTTACCAGTTGGATAATTTTTATTTATAGTCTGATCCTATGTGGTAAGAGGGCATAAACATAGGAAAAGTCTACAATGTGCACCTTCTAAAAGGACATATGATATGCATTTATTGTGTGGTTCATATTGTGTCACGTCATAAAAAGTAACTTGCTAAACAGGTCATTTAACAGGTCAC